AAAAAAAAAAAAAATAAAAAAAAGGAAAAAATTTTAAAAAAAAAAAAAAAAAAAAAAAAAAAAAAAAAATATATATATATATATATATATATATATATATATATATATATATATATATATATATATATATATATATATATATATATATAGAATAAAAGTTGTTGAAATAATTATGTAATGTATTTTGGTGACCTAAAGAGTCTTTTATTCCAATTTTTTTAGGTGATATTGTGAAGTATCGCTGCTTACCTGGCTACACACTGATTGGAAGAGCAGAGCTTATGTGTAAGCTTAATTCCCACTTGCTTTTTGAAGATCCAGCCCCAAAATGTCAAGGTAAATCACAATATATATAGAACTCTGCTTTAATATGTTGGAAATGAAGTGTATTTGACACTTGATTTAATTGTCAGGTAGAAAAAGATCAGGGTTCCTGGAAGAGTTTCAGTGCAATTTTATTAATAAAGTAACATATTAAGATCAAATTTTGATTGAAATCTGTATTATTTTATAATGGAAGCATCTATGTGTGCTTATTTTTGTGCCTATAAAATTAATTATTGCAATGGCTATCTGAAATCCCTATGGGATAAATATTAGCTACTTTGTGCTAGTTTTTATTTATTTATTTATTTATTTATTTATTTATTTATTTATTTTTGCCTAATAAAGAAACACTGAACAGGTTAATTCAAAACTTAAGTAGTTAAATGTGAAAAAGGTTGTAGCATGTTGGATTTTAAACGTATATCAAAGCTTTAGAAGATAAATTTGTTATCCAACCAAGTCTGGGAAGCGTAGTGGAGTGAGGGCTGAGATTAATACTGTGATTTCTAAGTGACTGAGATAAGCATTGAGCTGCATGTTGAAAAGGTACAGACCCCCCTGTTAAAGTAATAGAAAATAGTTTTCTATTGTAAAACAAAGGGGATAAAAACAACTATCTTATGAGAAGACGTGAGAAGCAAAAACAAAGTTCTCCTCTAAAACATAAAGTTGCAAAGTTTGAGTAAAGTTTGTTCTTATGTCCTTTTGCTGATCTTGTAGATTCTTAAGGCTATTGACAAGAAATAGTCAGTGGTTTTTAAGTTGCTGTTTTTTTTTTTTTTGTTAGAATTCAAATATATTATGAAACTTCTGTAATTGGCTAAATTTTAATCCTAGAGAAGTTGTTTTCTGAACCTAACAAAGTACATTTTAAAGATAAGCATAACCAGTTAAAACATGTTTTAGGTGTTTGGATTCAGGTGTTGACAGATGTACTATCTCTGCTCAAGTATATCTTGTATATGCATACGTATGTTGTTTGTCTTCTCGGTTCTCTTTATTTTTCTCTCTTTCTGCAAGTGTAGAGGTAGACTCAGGGTGTTTTCTTGTAATCTCTTTATCCTTCCATCCCTTTGTTGTTATCTCCTTTCCCTTTATACTTTTTGCCTTACCTCTCTGCGTTTTTTTCTCTCTTTCTCTCATTTTTTCAATTTCTATGTCTATTTTCTATGAAATATACCAATATATATATATATATATATATATATATATATATATATATATATATATATATATATATATATATATATATATATCAAGTGAAGCATTATAGCAAATGCTGTAATGCTCCTCTTTTGAAAGCAAATCTCCATGACCTTTGAGTACCATACTGCCAAACAGAACCCACTTAAAAACAAAACAATCTTGTATTTGTGAGTGCATGATAGTTATTTTCGTGTGTGTTTGATTGTGTCCTTTCTGTACTTTTTCTGCCTTTTCTTTTGGCATTCCACAGCTCACAACCCCACCCCCTCCTTTAGTGGTTTCTTACCTGACTTGTTTTATTTTTAATCTCTCCAGCTCAGTGCCCAGCAAATGAGGAGAGGTTTTCATCATCGGGAGTCATACTAAGTCCTGGGTTTCCTGGCAACTATCCCAACAGCCAGACTTGCTCCTGGCTCCTTCGTATGATTCCAGGTAGCGGATTTGATGGCATTCTGTTTTCTGAATACGATTGCGTAGTTAGTGTAATAAGGGATTATGCTACTGTAACATCTCTACCTTTTTTTTCCTGTCTGGCTAATGCTAGCTTGTAGGTGAACAGCAGCTAAAAGTAAATTGCCAGTATCATCTGTTATTACTCTTGTCCTGCACTGTAGAAGTGCTACAGTCGATAACATTTTTGGTTTCATTCCCACCCATGAAAAATGAGGATGTTTTCTACAGCTCAAGTACAATAATTGATAAACTGTCACGTCGTTCAGACACCACAAGGGGCATCTCTGACAAACCCCAGCTCCACTGCCAAGGCACAGATATGAATAAGGTCCTTAGTGGTTTGTGTAAAAATAGCATAGAAATAGACTTGAATCCCAGATAAGGCTTACATGGGTCTATTGTTGGTAAAAATGTTCTTTTTTGTCAAGGGATGAATATAAAGTGTGTAACGTGTGAATTAGCTTTGTTTGAATAAACAGTGCACAAACAATGTTAAATTGCTATACACGTCTTTTTCATGCAGTTTAATACATTTGTCTTGTTTCCCAGGTTACACCATAAATATCTATGTAGAGATGTTCCACAGTGAGAAGCAATTTGATGAACTGGAGATTTTTGATGGTAAGCAAATGTCTCATCACTATTTGTTGCACATGACAACATTAATATGCATAAAAATACCCATTGGCAGTAAGCTTTAATTCATTTTTATCCATGAATGAAGACATATGAATAGATACACAGCTCTTCATTTCCTTTTATTGTGTTCTGATCTAACTTGAGCTTTTCTAATTGATCTACTATTGCTAAAATAAACAAAATGCCCTCAGATGTTGATGAGTAAACAGAAGCTAAACACGACACCTAATGCATGAATATGCAGCAGTTCTTAGCAGCTTGGTGATATTCCCATACAGCACAGTTGAAACATGCATACACTGTGTGGACATAAACCTCTTTTCCTAACAGTCTGATATTAAATCACATAAACTTTCTGATTTTGGGCCAGTCTGAATGATTTATAACATTGTTTAGTAACAAAAGTTTTCCCAATGGCAAAGTTTCATATCTATATATATATTTTTTTAACTGATAACATTACCTTTTACTGTATGAGCTGAAGCAAATGTGTTGGCTGGGCTTCCACCAGCTTCTCACAATAGTCATGTTTGCAGGTTTCTATGCTAGCAGACTTTTTTTCAGCCAAGCCGTCACATTTTGTACGGGACAGAGATTCCTCCTTCCAAGCACTGATTTTGCTGTTCTTAAGCTACCCTGTGACTAAATTGGCGACATGCATTGGGTTATTACTCATTCTGAAGACCCATTTGCAGGTTTTCTAAACGGTTTAGACGTCATAAAGTTTTAAGTGCCTGTCTGATGTCTTGATTCCCACATAATGTTCTTTCGTCATGCACGTCTGCGACCTTTAGCACAGAGCTGTGCAAGTGTTTTGCCTTATATCTGTAAAGAGACCATGACAAAAAATGTGTAACTTGTGTATTTATTTTTTGGAAATATGCACTGTTTTTTTTTTACAAACACAAGGATTCTTATCTATGAATGGGCAAAGATAAAATTCTCAGACATTCTGCAAAATTTGTTTACAAATGCACATTTTGATTTACAAGCATGAAATGTGTATACCCTGGATTTTGCACATGCATACATCTCTATCTACACATGCACAAAGCAGAAATTTTCTGCCATTTTCTTTTTCACAAGGTTAAAGACATTGTCAGATTATAAGCATGAAATATATATAACTGTAGTCTGTGCCCATAGACCATCCCTACTTACAACAAAATACTTACAACTACTTATATTGACACTATTGAACTTCACAGTAGTATAATTGTGCTACTGTGCAGTATCCGCCTCTTTTTTTTTTTTTTTACGTAATGACTGTCTTTGCGGTTACACTAGCCTGGTAAAAACCAGACCCTCTATTCTACACTTCGCTTCATACAGAGGGTCTGGACTCTCGGCTATTACTTGGTTGAGTAGCGAAGTTTTAAATTGTACCCAGTTGCAAGTGATGTGCCAGTTTGACTATGAGGCTTACTGAAGCTTACCTGGGATGTAAACAACCGATCCTCCACTGCGAAGAGGTGCTGAACGAGGTGACCATTAATGTTTGTATTAGGAAGTGTGGCCAACATGGACTCAACAGTGGATGTTCACCTCATCCGCTGCAATTGCTAGAACTACAGGAAGACCACAGTTCTAAAACGGTGTCAAAAATCAATGCCAAAAGCATTTAAAGACTGAGTCTAAACACAATCTCCCAATGGCAATGCTGCACAGTGGCAGACACAATACAAAAAGTTGCAATTTCTCTATATTGTGGATATCCATCAAGATAACAAGGAATTTTGTTCTAAAGCCCTGTATATGTGTGCTTCTTACTAGGATCATCAGGACAAAGCCCTTTGCTTGTTGCTCTGAGCGGTAACCATTCATCTCAGCTGAACTTCACGTCTAAAACAAACCAGCTCTATCTACGATGGTCCACTGACCACGCGACTAACAAGAGGGGATTCAAGATACGATATTCGGGTACAGCCAGCATCTTTATATTTTCTTTCAGACATCAGCAGATAATCAGATGTGAAAGATTTCACGATTCTTTGTCCCGCTTTGTTCAGTACTGCATTTGGAGCTTTTGTACAGCTTTTTTCAAAGAAAGAAAGAAAGGAAAAAAAAACACTATCTTGTTAGTTTCATTCATTGTGAGGTGTGGATGATTGATTTAATGACTTGATTAAAACGACGTGTTACTTTGCATTACCATATGTCACAATAGTCTCAGTTTTCAAGGTGATAGTTCATATCCCATCTGGATGATTGACAACTACCTGCTCTGCCCTATCTCTGCTTCCTCAGAATCTAGGAACATGTATGCACTCCACATAGTTCAAAAGATTGCTAATTTCTCAGACTAGCATTAATAATGATCTCCTAATGCCTTTCTTCTCATGAGAATAATGTGTTAATGGTAGAGTGAGCAATGATCATTTAGAAAGCATTCTTTTGAATGCATTAGGCTGCTTACATATGAAAAGGGAGTTAATAGCTTTGATTTATTAATGCGTGTTAGATTGTGAGTGGCATCTTAAATTTGTACACTTTTTTTTTTTAAGGTTGCCAATAGTCTTAATTATAAAATGTAATTTACGGTTACACAGAACTTAAAAATAATGGAGGAAATAAAGTTGATGGATTTTTAATCTATAGTTGAAATTGGTCAGCAGTCTTGAGCTCTGTTCCCCACAGAGCTGTAATGGGCTGATAGCAGCGACACAGAACAGGGATTTATGGTTGAGATATTCCACTTCATATACATTATTAATACCCTGGTGTGCTGAGCTAAACAAATCAAAGTATATAATGCAAATACATGCTAATCACTTTTGGCTTCCTGCTTGGTAGGTTGAACTGATCAGAGTGACGTTTAATACTAGCCGCTTTAGTTTCATCATATTTACATCCTTTGACTTGGCTTCTGCTGCTAAATGGTGTTATTGTTAATGTTCTTGAATGTTCATGTCTGCATCCAGTGATCCTCCTGAAACACAGCAGTGGAGTCGTCAGTGTTTACGTTTTATCGATCTTTATTAGTTATTTTTTATTTGCTTTGTTTTTTTTTTGTTTTGTTTTTTTTCTGTCTTGTTATTGTTTTACAGACTCCATTTCATTCGTAGAGCTTTTTGGGCAACCTGTGAATAAATCTGGCAGTGTATAAATACTTAAATTATTTGGAGAACAAGAGAAAAATGGCTTGAAGTTGTCTTTTGTGTTCTTTTTGTCATTTGTAATTACAAGCAGCATTTATCCTGCCTTGTATGGTTAGACAGTTTCTACTTAAATAAATTCCTGAATTCTACAGACAGTGAGTGATCAAAGTTAATTGAATTAGGGAGACTTAGGAACCTTCTTACTTTATTAAATAAAAGCCCTATTTGAAAACATATTGCATTCATTTCCTGTAACATTAAAATTAGTTTGGTGGGAAATTGTGTCAAAAACAAACTGAAAAAACAAATCTGTAAGAGGATAAAATATTTTTTCATAGTACTAAATCCTTTCATATTGTTATCAAAAATTATTTTTTTATTGTACTGAAATCCATAAAACTAATTCTTCTTCTTACAAGTACTGTCAACAATTTTCTTTTTTCCATGGGAAAATATACCTGACTACCAAACGTTTTTAGGCAATATGTGTCAAATAGACACATAGATGGTAGAACCAAGATGTCTGATATTTTAAGCCCTATACCATTAGCTGGATGAAATAGTGCAATAGTAGTGTAATAATGTTTAAAAAGAAAAAAGCAGGTAAAGAGGGTTAGACATATGTTAGACATTCAGTTGGGATGACAAGTTTGTAGATATGGTGGGGTGTTATTTCACTGTAATGGGCAGCTCATTTCAGGAAATATATCTGAGAGAAACGCTGACCCCATTAGGTAAACAGGAGACAAAAGTGGGCTATCATAATTCATCCAACCGTTCTGTACTCAATCAACTTTGCATTTTCTTTGCTCTGAGAACAAACCCATTCTATTACTCAAAAATAATGGCTCTATTATACGGTCTGTCACAGGTTTTTAAGTTCTTGTAAGTTGACTCAAGTCACTGTAATGCTTGCACAGGCAGAGATAATTTATCGTGTTTTTTTTTTTGTTTTCTCTCAAAATCCCTCTTAAAATTAACAGGCGCTCTTGATAATTATTTTCAGCATCAGGCTGGTAATCGCTTCAGTTTCTTGTGAAATTATATCATTTTTCCCATCTGTCTTTCTCGTTCTCCGTTTCAAGCTTCTTATTGCAGCATTAATGATCCTCCGTTAAATGGTGGCGTGGTCAACCGAACGAAACTCCATCCAGGTAGCAGACTCCAGTTCTACTGTAACCATGGTTACCGCCTGGTAGGCTTAAGCAACGCCACCTGCAGGCTTGATTCCAGTGGGCTTTACCAGTGGGACGCACCTGCACCCGTTTGTCAAGGTCGGCGGCCAAAAGATGTTTTCGAATAATTCTTTTCTAAGACCTTTCAATTTTAAAGATGTCCTTCGTATCCTATTTATCTTGTCAGTAAATATGTTTTATTTGGGATGAATTTTAGCTATTTATGTCTTTTAATGTTCTACCTTGTACCATTGAGTTGTATTCCCAATCTCGTTGTACTATTTCAGTCCAATGACAATAAAGGCTTTCTATTCTATTTCTGTTCTATTTTTTTACTTTTTCGCAGCGGTTTCATGTGGAATACCTCAGACTCCCGGCAACGGCAGCTTCCATGCATACCACTACAATGTTGGTAGCCAGGTCACCTATCAGTGTAATTATGGCTACCATCTTGACCCTGGTGCTCCTGTGTCAGCTGTGTGTTTGGAGGATGGCAGCTGGAGTAACACAGGTTCAGTTCCCCATTGCCTGCGTAAGTGATCCTAACCATAATCCACCTGTCTATAAAGTAATGCTATAATTTCAGGCTCTATTTTCATCTATGAAACATTTCTCTTCTTTTTTTTTTTTTTTTTAACCTCCCACTACAGCTGTGCACTGTCCCAGCATTGAAGGCGTCCTGACAGAGCACATGACCTACCGCCTGCTCATTGGCAGGCTGGCTGAGTTTGGTTCCACTGTGATGTTGGAGTGCTCAACAGGCTTTTATTTGGGTGTCGGGCATCGAACTCTCGGTTGCCTCGCCAACGGGACCTGGGAAGGATCGGATGACCCAGCTACCTGCAAGAGTAAGTTTGACTCACTTATTCATTAGAAGGTGTACACTCTACGCCACTTGATTTTGGGATGTTATTTTTGATTGCGACATAGTTAAATATTACAGGACGTAGACAGTTACATGAAGTACTTTAAAGTAAAGTACATATTTTAAATTTAGATGGGTTTCAGTTTTTTGTTTTAATAAAAACAAACAGGTTTGCAGATTGCACACTGCTGAAAGTTGCAAAAGAGTTAGGAATCCCAGCAGAGAAGCCCAGCTTAACCCTATGGCCATCTAAGAAAAAAAAAAAAATGGTGGTAGCAAAGTCTTTAATTTGAGTAAGTGCTTACAAAACGAAAGCTTAATTAGTTATGACTAGTTAGAAGAAATAAGACCAAAAAAATCTTGCCTACTGTGACGGATTGCTGGGAATTTGCAAACTTCTCATAGCAAACTGTATTTCCAAAAAGCTTAAATTCAGGCTGCAGTCATGTAGCTGATGTAACTTCTGCTCTCGTTCTGAGGAGCATTGCTGCCCTGATGTGCACAGGTGTGTGCCAAGACTCAGTTTCCTCAGGACAACTTTATGGAGGGAATACTTTTTATTAGCAAAGAGTGAATTGATTGTATAAAATGTAGAAGTGAGTATCAACTACCAAAAGCCTCATTGTTCCACACATCATCAGTCTGGACTTTTCGTTCAGTTTTAATTGTGTTGGCGTGTCGCAGCAGTCAGGTAATTCTGAGGACACTGTGATGTCACTCAAACTCTGTTAGCAATGCACAATCAGACGGCGGCTGCAGCTAAATCCTGATCTTATTCCTTTGGCTTAGACACAAAAAGATAGGTCCCCAACACTACTAGTAATAAACGCTAATATAACACAACATGCTTTCTTAATATCTGCATGGCCAGATATTATGGCCATTGCAGAAACTGGGGGCTATGTCCTGGTGCCTCAGCCATGTTGTGTCCTTTCCCCTGAAACTGGAGATCTTTAATAGTCTTGTTTATTAATCCTGTGGCTGTAAGTGTGTAACTGTTTTTATGATAAATCCATCCTAATTTTTCTGAACCTCACTCACTTTTCCTGCATAGCCAAGCTTTCTGGTAGAAGAATATATGTTGTCCTTTTCTGTGTGACCAAGGACACACTCGCAAAATTTGGCAACCAAACAATTTCTGTAAATGTATTATCACATTTGTTAGCTGGTGGTTGCCACCCAGCCCCAGTATAGTACAACATAATCTCCGAAAGTTGAATTCATTCAAATGTTACTAATCTGCTTGCAAAACCAGAGGAGAGACCCAACTCTGATCTTTTTAATGTGAGATGTATTACACAATTTTACTTGGCTATATGTCTCTAAGAAACGGTTTTACGTCTTTAAGCCTTGTTTGTACTCTATACTGCACACATGAAACGCTGTCTATGTGACCTCTGTTAACAAGTTTTATGGTTGAAAAGAGCCGCTGTACGAAAGAAGAGATGAAAAAGACGCCTTATACATAGAGACACTCAAACAATGATGCAACAACGTGAGCAGGCGACATGCAGCACACTGAAAGAATAACACATGAATAAAACTGCATTGCAGTTACTTCCACCACCTGTCATGAATTAGTTATCAAAACAGCAAACCCACCCTGGAACAAGCAGACAGCTGGAAAAATCAGAGAAAGGTATTCTTCTAATAGGGGTACCTTCTGTTATTTTGTCAAAATTGTGAGCTTTATGTTTTGGTGTGTTGGAACCACAATGCAGGAATGGAGTTTTTTGAAAATAAAAGCTTATCCCAAAAGCTAGATATATCAACTCGATAGCCTGTACATGAGTTTTTCTGCTTTCTTCTCCACTTTATCCTTCTGAGATATGAGGGGTGTATGTGTTTCCAAATGCCTTAGGGTATTAAGCATCGCCTTTCACCTTGGGGCTGTGATAACCGTTTCATGCAGAATATAGACTGTGATTCCTAAATGTGATTTGCATGTTGGCAACCATCAAAGACATTTTTTTTTTTTCAAATACGAGTGGTATTCTGCAATGTGTCTTTGCTGCTTAGTTCATAAAGAAAAGCTTAGTGAGAACATTGTGACTGCGAAAACTTTCCAATGCAGAATTTCATAGTGTTGCATAATACATGAATTGCTGATGATAAAGTGAGATGTGTACACTGAGAGGAAAAATAGTGAGGGGATTAAATTTGTTTAAGATTAAAACAGTGATTTATTTAGGTCGATTTTAAGTAATCTCTTTGTCTAAGTTGGCTAACCAAATACTAAGGCAGCTTAGGCAGATTGAGGAGAATTCCTTAAAGATGACAATAAGTTTGAAGACTATATTCTTTCTAAATCTGTCATTATTTTACTACAGATAAATTATGGCAACAGCATTTGAGCTAAGAATCAGAAAGACATTTCCAATTGTTTGGAGATAAAAGGACAAAGAAACATATTCAAAATTGATCGTTTTTTGATCTTACAACTAAAGTCGAACCTGATTCTTTCCATCTGCCCGCACTGCTTCCAGTTCTGTTTGGTATCCAGTGTCTCGGTCTGTCGTACTCCAACCACAAACGGTGTTGAGTTTCTTTAGCAAAACAAAAATATGCACATTTAGTTTTCAGTGCTCTTCTCAGATTTATGTCTCGACTTTGATGGCCAGATATTATAGCCATTACAGAAACTGTGCGCTATGTCCTGGTGCCTCATTTTGGGGTATCTCAAGGTGTTCCCATGCCAGAAGGGTTATGAGGGATATGTAGTCCCTTCACTGATTTCTGGGTCATCCCTCTGGATTCTTTCCAGTAAGTTGTGCCCATCCTGATCAGATGCCCAAAACACCTCAACTCAGTCCTGACTCTCCATTTCCCGATTTCTAGTTATATCATTGTTATTGTTTTTTTAGATCTTTACTTAAATTTTTCTGTAAAATATCTCTTTTGGTTTCAGTCATCTCTTGTGGGGAGCTTCCTACGCCACCCTTTGGTACGAAACTGGGGACACTGACTACGTTTGGAGCAACCGCCATCTTTATGTGTAACCACGGATACACGCTGGTGGGGTCACATGTGAGAGAATGTGGCGCTGATGGGCTGTGGAGTGGTGCAGAAACTAAATGTTTAGGTAAGATCCATTAAATATTGTTGAGTGTGTGTGTTGTTTTCTGGTTTCTGCTCAATCAGATTTACATGAAAGCCTGATCAATAAAATAAATATTCTATTGAGTGTGTGCTGTGAATAATTAACAGAACAGAGAAGACATTGGGATTAAAATGCAGTGAGCAGTCAGAAAAATATCAGAAGTTTCATTCTCGTTAAATGTTAACTTGGACCATTTTCATCATAGGTCTGGGATCTATAGAGAGGTTTTCTTTGTCTACGCCTTTAACGTCCGCTATAACCTTTACTTGCATCCTTTTTTAAATGGGACGTATTCTAACAGTGCAAATGATGGATAATGCATTTTATAGGGTGGATTTTATACATAGTTACTGCAAAGGGCTTCTGTGAGGTTCTTAGTAGATATTAAATAGTGTTTGCTGTAAACTTGGTGTTTTTAAGTTCAAAAGCTTCAAAATCTTGAAAAGAAACATATTCAGCATTAATGTGACATTATATTTAAATATAGGGTTAAGACGCAGAAAGAAAGCACTGTCATTGACAGTTTCATTTTATATGTCTGTGTTTATGACTGGTTAATTATAAGAAACACATCTACACTGTAAAATACAATGTGAAACATTTTTTTAAATAGTCTATATTTAAGACAACCGTTTTTTTTTTGTTTTTTTTTGTTAAAAGTAGTTTGTTTGTGGGTGTGCTGTGGTGGCGCAGGGGTTAAGCACAGTCCACATATGGAGGCCTCAGTCCTCGACGTGGCCGTCGCAGGTTCCATTCCCGGCCTGGCGACCTTTGCCACATGTCTTTCCCCATCCCTCATTACCCACTTTCCTGTTAACTAACTATCAAATAAAGGCCACTAGAGCCAATAAAACCTTTAAAAAAAGTAGTTTTTCTTGTGATCCATCTGTTTAGAAAGGTATATTTAATACTGCCAACTTATTCTTGAAATATTTATCATTCCTCAGGATAATTAACTCAAAATACGGCGTTAGTATTTCAAGGTCTCTTCGAAAACACAGAAAGTTTTCATGTTTGTGGTTTTCAGAGACCTTTTGTGCATCTGTAATTGCCAAATTCTTGAGCTAAGCTGTTGAAACGCTGACTTGAAAATGCACTAATGGTTTTGAGGCCAAAAAATTATCCTCACATATTTGAAGTGTTTTAAAGTTTTAGCTTTGTGTGCGCCAAGCAAACTTGAGATTTATGAAGCGAAAGTAAGTTTTTATTTATTTATTTTTCACTGTACGTGTGTCTCTTCCAGCTGGTCACTGCGACTCTCCAGATCCTATAGTCAACGGTCACATTAGCGGAGATGGCTCAAGCTACCGTGACACTGTGGTGTACCAGTGCATGTTGGGATACAGACTAATCGGCACATCCGTCAGAATCTGCCAGCAAGACCATCGGTGGTCCGGAACAACACCTGTCTGTGTCCGTAAGTAAACGCATTCTTTTATTACTGCAAGACGCTGATGACTTGCAACTTTGTTAGGAAAAACAAAGAGCTAAATTGGATAAATGCCTCATTTTTATTTTTTTGCATGCTAAATATGTGAAAGATGTGAAGTGTAGGATAACAGTGCTTCACTTAATCATCTTTTTTATTGTTTTTCTCTTGTTTCCTTTGACTTGTTTAGCCATCACTTGTGGTCACCCTGGAAACCCAGCCAATGGGCGAACCAATGGCAGCGAGTTCAACCTCAATGACGTTGTCAACTTCACCTGCAATAAAGGTTACATCCTCAGTGGGAATGCCCGCGCTCAGTGTCGACTCAACGGACAGTGGAGCAACCCCTTACCTGTCTGCAAAGGTCACTTTCACATCTGTCACACAGCGCTACCCAGTTGTTTGCGTCCTAAAACATGTTTTCTTTTTATATCCGTCACACATTAGGGAGCTGGAATGAAAGTTATCTTGTTGTTGTTATTGACAATTTTATGATGAACAAAACAATCGAAAATTACATTTGTTTGATGTATTTATTTGTTTACTTTTAATGCGGTATGCTTTAGGATTTTGTGACTCAGCCTTTTGAAACATAAGTACCATTTCTGTATAAATAAAAATCCTCTAGTACAATGGTTAAATTATACAAGAACAAACGCATATTGAGAGAAGGTTACATTTTGGACCTACAATGAAAGGCTTTGGAAATTCTAACAAGAACATCAAAATGTTTTGTTTTTTTTTTTTTTTTTTTTTTTTTTTTTTTTCAACTTTATTCAAATATGTATGTCACCAAGTTTACTATAAGAACCGATTAGGTAAAATTCACCAAACACACCATTACATTTAAGTAGTTTGGTTGAAAAATTGGAGCAGATGAAAACGAATACAATTTGTAAACATTAAAACACATTTTTAGACTCCAAATTATTTTTTCATCCGTAGCTCTCAGAATTTCAGTTTAAAAAATCAATAATTCATACATGTATTTTAAAATCACGGCGTATCGCTACTTATCAATGGAAAGTTTAGTGGTAAGAAAAAATGTTGTTTACAAAGGTATTTTGAAAAGCGATAACTGCGACATTAAGAAGTCCAACCAAGGATCGAGTGCAAATCCTGGGCAGTGTATATGTGTACCGTTTTGTATAATTTTTGTAGTTTTCTGAAATGAATTTAGTTGTTTTTATTAGACGTCATCCGTAGCCATCAAGCTTTACAGAAAAAAAAAAAAAACTACTACTGTGTTTTGAACCTGTTCACTTTTTTTTGTTTAATTTGTTAATTTTTCTATTATAAATTTAATTAAACAGAACATATACAGATACACACTCTTAAACATTTAAAAGACTTGATATCATAAAGTCTCTTACATGGGTTTCCCATCAAAAGGTTTCTTCTAGCTTGCCTGTTTTTCATCCTCCCTGAATTTTTTTTCGCTCTTATTCCCCCTCTGCCTCCTTCCTTTTCTCCCTTTCTCACAGCAGCAGCTGTCAATTATGAGCCCGAAACTTTCTTGCTTCCCATAGGGTGCCAAACACACATACACACTCTTACTCACACACAGCCATCTCCCCCATGGGCTTGGATTTTCAGTGAATGTCAGTCCTCCCCTGTGACATGTGGAAAATCACACTCTACTCCTATTGGACTAGCATGCACCGAGAAGAGCAAGAGTTAAGAACAAAGAGCTCAAGAAAACTGAGCGGGGTGAGACAAAAGAGGAGGTTTAAAGGAACTGCAAGGACAATCTGAATTTGTAACAGTTTTTCTTTTAGTCAGCACATTTAAGAAGACAGTGGGAAAGAAGAGGTTGATAGCATTTTTTTAAATTCTCTGGTAATACCACATAATGGGTTCGCACAGAGAACATAGCACAGTGTGACATAGACACCAATAGGTAGACACTGCATTGACTGTCTCAAACAGTTGCAGTGAAACGTCAAGGTGTCTGCCATTTCAGGAGGAGAAACGGCAGGCAGGAAATCCTTAAAGCGAATCTGGGAGTTGAGGTTTCAGCCAGGATAAAGGAAGTTTTGCGTTTGTTTCACAAAGAGACTTTACTTTTAACACGGCGGGTTTTCTGTATTTGTAATGTTAAGTCGTTTCTTTTGCGACTTAAAGGTTTGATCGTGAAGCAATGAAGATCATAAATGCTGAAAAGTGAACATTTTTTAGTGGCACTCTCAAGAAGACGACCTAAATCCGGGTCAAGTGTTGATTCAGCAGAGAACTGACTATGAAAAGTTACGCTATTGAGGATGCATTTGTTGTTTTTATAGGTTAATTGCATATGGATGTAAAGCAAATGAAAACTATCACTTAGATTTCCTTTTTCGAAATCACAATGATAAAAAAATTAAGAAATAAATATGAACATTTAATTTAGAACAAATTAAGTAAATTAACCCCATTAGTACAAGTTTTTATTTTTTATTTTTTAAGCACTCGATCAAATTTTTATTAATGTAATAAAATCATGTGCAAGACTAAAAAGAAATTACCTTAAGCTTAAAAACGTTAAAAAAAAAAAAAAAAAAAAAAATTAAAAAAATTTAAAGGAAT